ATATTGTCCTAATAGGAACTAGGATCTTTAAGTTAAATAAAAGTTATATTAGATTTAGTTAAGAGTTAACAATAACGCTGTTATGGCCTTAAACGAGGGCCTAATGGATTTGAGATCATTAGGTTTTGGAAAAGTTAAATTCTAGCATTATTTTGGCAACCAAAATTCCAAAATAGAACCATTTTAGCAAAAAAATTACCTATTCAGAGCCACTTGGTCATGAAACAATTGCTTAACTGTTTGGCACTTTATGCGGCCTATTTAAGGCAATATAGCATTTATTAACACCTAAAGGAGTTGCAAAAAGTCATGTGGATAGAAATATAACTTTATGGGATAAGGTATAACCAACTAGTCGGTAGATCTGCTTGACTTCTCGGCGGTACTAGGATTTCTTCATTATACGTTAACTTCATTCTGGCTATGTGGTCATTATCTGTAGGCGACCTTGTTCTTTTCCGCTTAAGGTTTTCAACTGATTTCTTCTTCGTACATTGAGGACTTAGGCTGGCAGCTAACCTTTGCTTTGAATTTTTCAGAACTCTCTTAAAAAACTGGTCGCATTCTATTTTGCTAAATGTTTGGTCGGAGTTATGTACGACAAAAAAAAATGTAGACCTAATCCTTTCAAAAAATTTGAAGGCAGTCTTTTCACACTCGTTTTGATTTCTGGAATTACCCGTCCAGGAACATTGCAATAACAAGTCCCTGGAGAAAAAAAAATCTATGAGTCTATAGCATAGGGTCAGCCCCTTCATGTTAGTTCCGCGTGAACATAAAGTGGACATTGAGCTTATATATTTCTTTTCAAAATTGGAGTCTTTAAGATTTTCTTCTAAGGCTTTCAGCTCATCTATTGTTTTTACAGGCGGAAAGCGCTCTACTAAGAGACTATTCTTATTATGATGGCTATCCGTATCTGAAGCTAATCCCATTTTGCTATACAGTTCACCAAAATAGGCTTCATGTTTTGCCAACTGAGAAAGGATTTTTGATGTGTCTCCAGCCTGTTTTTCAAGTTGTGCAATAATCTTTCTTTGATTTTGTAATAGTTCAGATGCTTCACCTTGACTAATGCTCCCTACTACGAATGCGTTTTCTTCCGGGCTGCTCCTTACTACGAATGAATGAGTTTGTATGTTGCAGTCATCCAATGTAACAGTTTCTCCCTAAAAAGAAAAAATGTGTTGTTATCAAATATATGTCCGAGCTTTTTTGACGTCCTACGTTAGGGCATGCAGGGCCCTAGGGCCATAAATGAAGACCACGGGAGACAAACAAGGAATGTTACAAAATATAGAAAATTAAGTTAGCCTCGCTATCTAGTTGAGAATCATCTATTTTATATTGTAAACACATATTCTGTAGAAAAATACGACACAGCTCGTTAGGAGCCGCGTCTAAAATACGAGATTTAGGAGAAAAAGACAAATTTCCAATTGAATTATAATCGGTAATTATCAGTATTAATATTTTGTGACATTCCCTGTTTTTGTCCTAATTTGGTCTGCTATAAACCCAAAATTAATAAGAAACTTACAACTTGCGGTATTTCATTGGGTATATTCAATATTGAATTGAAATCCCCAAATATAGTTAAGCCATCTTGCGGCTTTCTAGTATCCTGCTGATCTTCTTGCTCCGTGTCCGTTTCCGCTTCCATCTTTTCTGCTTCCTCTGATGCTTCTTTGTATGTCCCAAACTGCCTTTTTACGATACAGGAAAATGATTTCCACTTATCTTTTGGGACGGAGTTTTCATCTAATACGGCCCCCATTTGGGATTTTGGAGGCCACCATAGCGTACCATCTTTCTCCCACCCACTTGGGACGGCTGATATACATATCGTTCCGCGTTCGATTGTTTGAACCACTTTAAATGGCATTTTCTAAAAAAAAGTTGTAAATGTAAAAAAATGAACGTTAAAGTTTAACCTAATAAGTTTTCCAGAACCTAGTCAGCTTAATTTTATTTAAAAGACTATTACAAACACTAAAATTTATTGTTTTTAAGGATTATAGTATTGTTGCTATTAGTAACCAAAGACTTATACATTTGACACAATTTTAAGCATATTTTTAAAATAAAATTTAGTAATTCACTTTTTATTTATTATAAATATACAAGGTGTCAGAGACAAAACAGTCCACCGCAAAATAACTACCCCTCCCCAAAAAAAAGCTCGGGCCCGTCGATTTTTGTTTTAAGGGTGACTCTTAATAATCACAAAATCACCTTCTTCACCACCTCCAAAAAATTAAATTGATATTTCATAAAAAGGGTATTATTATATATTAAGCCCTTATTAAAATTTTCTAAATTTAAAACATGTACTGTAATCCTTACGAAGGATTTTATAAAAAACATCCGAATTTTTCCACATTTTGACAAGCTGTCATTTGAAAGGAGATGCATGTAGCAGCTTCAAACTTGGCAGTTATGTTCGGGGTCAAAATACCTTTAAAATGACGTATCAGTTGACCCCCCTTCCTATTTAAGATTTTAGGGTTGATGCCACGCCCTCTTAGGGTTTTGTGAGTATAAACGTGATTTTGTGATTATTAAGTGTCCCCTCAAAACAAAAATCGGCTGGTCCGAGCTTTTTATTTTTTTTTATTTGGGAGGGGTGGCAGTTTATTGGGGTGGACTGTTTTGTCTCGGACACCCTGTATTTATATTTATTAAAAATACGCTATTCTTAAAAGGAATTGTCTAAAGTACACAAAAACATGACGTTATTTAATATTTCACTATTTAATGTTTTATGCTTTGATTACTACTGTTTTATTAAATTTGTTAAAATAATAATGAGCTAGTGCTTAAGAACTATGAAAACTACTATATATGTTAATTTCTGCGAAATGTATATAAATCAAAATATAAATATTCACTAAATTGATTTTCATAATTGCAGTGTTGTGAGCAATTGAACATTATCTCGTTTATTTGAGGAGAGCGTTCGCGAACGTTCACGACTTTAATCGTGACGTTTATTCTAAAGAGCACGAATGAGCATGAATCCAAACGGTAAAACCAAAAATTTAACGGTCCCGTAGCGTAAGCGTTAACATTAGGTATGAACGGTCCTTTAGCAAATAGAGACGCGGCAACACTGGATCGCTTCACATTAGGTTGGTTATGGTTGCATTTATCCGAGCCATACAATATTACATAATTGCCATACTTCGTTGTATTTATACCTTTTATCTTTGTCAAAATCCCTTATATTATTATATGAATTAAAATGAACTTACCTTTTTATGTAAATACAACCCTGTATGCACTTTTAATGAAAGTTAAAAACACTTTTATTTGCACAATTCCGGTAACCACCAAAACCAAACACAAACTGAATGGCAATAAAGAGGTGTCAAGAAATTCCGCGTAGTAATAGATGATGCTAGTAGACCCTGCCGAACGCATAGAAGCCATTTATTGGAATTCGCCCGGGCTTTACCTGCTAATTGGTCATTGAAAGTGCCATTATGCAATGAAAGATGCTAGTAAGCCCTGTTTCAGTTGTTTTTAGAACCAATTGGCATTTTTTTAAGCCTTTCGTTCTACGACATAACTTTCAATACTTGCTTTAGCTATTAAAGCAGCTTGTAAACATACCTGGCAGACGTCCATTATGAAAAAAAAAATGTAATTACTACCATTTGTTTAAGCTATTCAAATATAGGTAAAAATGATGAAAAGTGCAAAGAATTTATATATTTATAGACACTGGAGAATATAATTATATATTTTCATTGAAGTATACATCAGAATAAAAAAAATATATATTTTTTTGACACATAATTACCATTAATTAGTTAGATATCAAAGGCCCGTGTGTTTTACAGCTAAATTACACCTAACTTTAACGACGAACTGGTGTGCGCAATGGAAATATCGGTCATAATATGTATAACAATATATATTTTCTGAAATAGATTCATACTGAAAATGTCGCTATGCATGCATGCATTGCCTTTTATCTCTTTGTCTTATTTTTGCCGAAGCTATACCATATTTAAAACTAAATGGTTCAATTTTAATGCTTTTTGATGTATCTGCAATGCCAAAAGCCCACGAATAGGTCAAATTAACCAACTAAAAGGCATTTTGCTATAGGGTTATAAACAGGTAGGCCTGAAATCTTTTAGGTCGTAAAAAGGTTATTTTTAGGCATCTTTAAAGTTTATTTCTGTTACCTATGAAGTTCTGTGATATGCGATCTGGTTTCAAATTGGCCAGGGCCTATTGGAAACGACAACTTCTTCAGGGCTGGGCCTTTTTTTGCTACAGGAGGTTCTGCGGGCTAAGAAATAACGTTAGTTGTGCTTAATGGCATGAGCAATAATATTTCTAAAACAGGTTCTGGGAGTTTTTTATAACCTTTTTAGAACCTAAATTGTTACTTGGGCACACGACCGAAGTCAAATTTCGCTCGAAGGTACTTCAAATCTGGTATAAAGACCTATGTAAACCCTTAAATGTGATTTAAAAAGAAAAATATATTTTTTAAATTTCACTCTGTAATTTATATTTATTTTTAGATTTTAAAATTATTCAGTGATATTTTGTAGTCTTGGATCGTAACTCTATATTTTACAGTTTTTTACACAAATCTTGTTTTGTACAAGTTTTTATCGGTTCCAGTGTTTAATTACTTAAATTTCCTATTTCGGTTAAGAATTAATTATTTTAAGGGTATTCACAATGACTTTATTACTTTCAACACTGTGCAAAATTTTCTCGTTACAGCCCAAAATTTTGATCTTGGAGCTATTTTACACCGTTTTCCAGTAAAGATTTAGGTATGGTTCTCAAAAATTTTACTAATAATTAATTTAAAAGAGCTTTATAACGAACTGAACGGATTTAAAAATATATCTTGTGAAACAATCAAAATAAGGAACAGTGTCGTTGGTAACAGAAAATGTTAATTGATGTTAATATTTTGAAGCTTAATTGGAAAAATTGACGTGAAAAAAAAATTAATAAATATCACTTACTTTCTCCTGCATTTCCAGAATCGAATCGAGATTATGGGCCTGCAAATATAATTTATTCTCATCTTGCATTCTTCTCATATCTTCTTGCTCTCGATACACTCGAGCATCTATTCCTTCTTGACTCCGTTTCATATTTTGTTCGGTACGTTGACGTTCTTCCTCGAATTGACGTTGCTTCATCTCCCATTCTCGTTTTTGTTTTTCTTTGTTCATTTCTCTGATGCGTAGCTTATTTCTTAATTCCTGTAAATTTACATTTAAATATATATTTAAAAAATAAAACAGTTCCAGCAGTTATACCATAAATATAGGCCTGATGTAAAATTTCAACGCGAAAATAGGATCAAAAGAAGACGCAAAAGAACGAGCAATGAAAGCAGGTACAAAATAAAGAAAAAGGCACACGATCGCTGCAGTTCCTATTAGAACATAACCTTTGCTGCCTGAAAGTTCAGGCAGCGTCACTAGAAATCAAATATTGGTTTCATACATCCAGAATCTCTATTGGAATCAAAAAGCACGAGTGAGACTGAACAAATCAACCAACACAGAAGAATTTGAAATTTCAAGAGGGGTGCGACACGGGTGTATTTTGTCTCCTATGCTCTTCAATCTCCATGTGGAGACCATTTTTGCAAAGGGACTGGAAGGCTCTGAGTGTGGAATAAAGGTAAACGGGTTTCCGATAAATAACAATAGTTACGCCAACGACACCGCGATAATAACAGACAACGAACATGACATGCAGTTGATGTTAAATAAAATAAACACCGTAGGAAAAATATATAGCTTGAAGATAAATGCTGAAAACACTAAATGCATGGCAATAAGAAAAAAGGGACTTTTAAGAATACAACTGCAAGTAGATAATGCTCCAATCGATCAAGTGAAAACGTTTAAATACTTGGGAATGATGATAAATGACCAATGGGATCCTCAACAAGAAATAAAATGCCGTACCGAACAAGCAAGACAAGCTTTTATCAAATATAAACCGCTACTATGTAACCGCAATATTTCCTTTAATCTCCGCTACAGGATGGTTAAATGCTATGTATGGTCCATATTGTTATACGGCATGGAAACATGGACGTTAAGAGTACCTTCCATTAATAAGTTGGGGCCTTCGAAATGTGGACGTTGCGAAGAATATTCCGCATACCATGGACACATAGGGTGAGAAACGAGGAAGTCTTAAGAAAGGCAAATACTGAGAGAGAACTACTCAATTTGATCAAGGTACGAAAAATTGGATATCTCGGACATCTTCTTCTTCAGATGCAAATCCACTAATGGATGTTAGCGATCACATTTTCTATTGATTCTCTATTTCTTGTAATATGTATAAGAGATTGTATGTCGTTAATCCCTGTCCATTGTTTTATGTTTCGGAGCCAGGACATTTTCTTGCGTCCCATTCCTCTCTTGCCTTCAATTTTACCCTCGATTATAAGTTGGAGGAACTGGTATTTTTCATTTCGCATGATATGACCTAGATACACCGTTTTCCTTTTCTTGATGGTTTCGAAAAGTTAGCGTTCTTGGTTTATTCTTTTAAGGACATCTTTATTTGTGATTTTCGCTGTCCATGGTATTTTTAGGATACGGCGATAAAGCCACATTTCGAAAGCTTCTAATCTGTTTATATCCCTCTGTTTGAGTGTCCAGCCCTCTACGCCATATAGCAGCACTGACCATAGGTAGCACTTGTAAACCTTAGTCTCAGTTTAAGATCGAACTCTGAACAAGTCAGTACCTTCTTGAATTTTACGAAAGCTTGTCGAGCTTTATCAATGCGACATTTTACTTCCCTGTCCGATGCCAGTCTTCAAAAAGCCACGATCCCAGGTATTTAAATTTACTCACTCTTTCAATGGACTTAGTATTCAGTGTTATGGTGGAGTTTTCAAGTGCATCCAAGTTTCTGGAGATGATCATGAATTTGGTCTTTTTAGTATTCTAATTCTAAATTTTATTATCTCTAATCCCATTCGCTTACTGTATTCTCCGATTATAGTGACAAGTTGTTGAAGATCGACTATGTTGTCACAAATTAAGACACCATCATGAGCATATCGTATGTTGTTGATCAATACTTCATTCACTTTGATTCCCACCTCTGCATCCTCCAAAGACTCTTGAAATATGGCTTCCGAATAAATGTTAAATAAAAGCGGGGAAAGCACACATCCCTGTCGAACGCCCCTTCTTATACGTATGGGTTTGGATATAGAATTGTCTATTTTTAACTGTGCCGTTTAATGCCAGTACAAGTTTTCAATGCATCTTATGTCTTTTTGGTCTATATCATCTTTCTTGAGGATCTGCATTAACTTGTGGTGTTTACCATAGAGGAAATAAATAACCAAATAGTAAATGCTTTAAAGGAAACTGTAGAAATATCTTAAAGTAAACTAAGTAAACTAACAAAAAAACCAAATAAAAGATAAAACACAAAAGACCTTATTCAAACCGAAGAAAAATTCTGAGTAGAAAGCCACAGCATAATGTAGAGAAATAAAAAAAAATATATCGCAGGGTGGAGCCACACGATATGGCAATGATGCCACCCTTACTGAAGACGGACTCGCATGGGCATTGGTTCTCTAATAGGATAGATTTCCTCTCGGAAGTTGGCAATACCCTTTATGCACCTTCTTTATCCAAATAGTAGCGTGTTGGGTGTTGGGTCATCAACGTCCGGGTATCACCGGCCTTTACCAGCCGGGGAGAGAATCTTCGTTATCCATTTGTGTTGACACGGATTCTTTGATGGGTAAGGGGTCCAAGTTTTATTGGGTTCCTGCGCCTAGGCCAGATGGCGTAGGGTTTAAGATTATGGTGCTCCGTGAAATACAATCCAATTAGTGGTCCCGCCTTTCCATACCCGCCAACCAGCGATTCCCCAACAGGATGGGTGTGAGCACTTCTGTAACTGGCGAGATTGTGGAATGGCGGTTTTGCTAGCAGCTGAAAGTACTGAAGCTGACCGCACCATCTCAAAAATAGCAAAAAGCGCGCAACGTTTATTTATTTAACAGCCTCATAAAAACTGATTTCATTTGCGACAAAATGCAAATATTTTATACGAAAGCTGCACTCTTCACATTTAAAACGCATTTGTTTACCATTGAGTTGAAATGCCTTTTATTTAAAAAATTTATTTTGCGCGCGTAACTGACATTCAAATTAGATTCATTCTAAAGAAAAATTGCTAAGTAATGCAATTTTGATTTTTTCTACACCTACACACCACAACGGAGTGATCCGTTGTGGGTGTGTAGGTTACTACTACGTTCAGTTTGTATCTACTATTTAGTTCAAAGGCATGTATGCGACTCGACTAGATATTCCTTTGATAACTTTGATAGTTTCTTTGTTTTTTTTTAATCGATAGTCCTACCCTTTCAACGCATATACCTATCTGGTTTTCCAGAGTGTTCCAGATGGTGGTTGATGAGCTCGCTTGGCCAGGTGTGCTATTCCTGTAGTAGATCTATCCTCTGAATCTGCCGGGATTGTAGAGGGTTATCCACCCGCTACCCAAACAACTAAAATTCTAAAAACGCTAAAAATGGATTATCACAAATACAAATATTTGCGAAAGAATAACAAACGACGATATCAGACTTTAAATTAAGAGACAGACTGTTGAAAAGACTAGTTAATGGTATAAAAAAGGACATACATTACCATTACAAAAAAATGCGTTTATAAATATATAAAAAGGCAAAAGTGTTTGTAAGTATACTCGAAATATCTAAAATAAAGTTGAAATAGGTTAGATAACGAAAATATGGACAAAAGACGATATCCAACGTTATGGTTGCGTGTAATAATGACAGCTAACAACAATGATTTATAGAACGTAATACAACGAGTTAAAGAATGCTGTCATGAATACAGACTAAGGATGAATATGAAAAAAACTAAATGCCTGATCATGACTAAATCAACAGATGCAAACATCCAATTGATTGTTAAAAATACAGTAATTGAGAGTGTCGATACCTATAAATACTGAGGAACATATATAACATTAAATGTAGACCAAACCAAAAAAATTAAGACAGGTATTGAAACGGCACGTGCCTCATTCGTTAAACTTAGAAAGTTTCTTAGTTGTCGGTATATAAGGTTAAGACTACGCCTAAGAATGCTTCGGTGTTACGTATTTACTACTCTTCTTTATGGCTTGGAAGGAGAAAGGTGGGAAGACGAAGAATATCGTGGCTTAAGAACTTAAGGGAATGGTTTGTTGTACAGAACTATTTAGAGCGGTAGTCAACAGGGTTCGTATAGCCATGATGATTTTCAACATTGGATTGAAGATGGAACTTAAAGAAGAAGAAGTGACGTTAAATGTAAACTTTATATAGCATAAAGGATAAAGAAAGACAATATTCTAGAACTTACTTCAGTTTCGTATTCGTACTTTGCATACTCTATTTGGGCTTGAAGTTTTTCCATTTCCAGTTTTAACTCCTTTTTTAACGAATGTTCCTTTTGATTATGAATACTATACAGCTCTTTCCAACGTATACCAAATCCCTCTTCAACACTTCCTTTGGCTGCAAATCTTGGTCCTAATAAGATATTTATTTATTTTATTTTTATATTATATATCATATTTTATAGCATTATTATTTACTTAATCATTTTTCACTTAATTTTTTATTTAATAAATTTAAATTCATATTTAATAAATCACACATACATAATATTGGCATAATTGCTATAAATTCTGTACCAGATAACACACTAGTAATATTGGTTATTATATTTTCAGCATTTAGTTTACCATGTACCGTTGACCTGAAGATGCATAGCAAATTATAATATGCGAAACCGGTCATTGGTGGTAAAATAAATTGATTGTGAGTAAGTCTTATTCCTATTTCTTTTTACCTATTTACTAATTTGATTGTCCTTGCTATTGCTAATTTTTTTTATACAATTATTAAATTTGTGGAATCTCATGGCAAAGCAAGATATTTAACTTATGGTGTCTGCTAACACAAAATTTTTTGTTTTGTAGTTTTTTATATATTGAGTTTGTCTTGTCCTCCCTTTTTGGTGGGACACCACAACTTACACCACCTGGTGTTTACCACAACTGTAGCAAGCGGATGCCACTGATATAACAAACCTACAATGTTAACTGCTACATTAATGTACCAATATTACCATTGAAGCCTATATACATCTCCATGTGAAATCTTCAAATAGCTCCATATGTAAATAGATTCAGCTTCTCCTTCAAAAGTGGCACATGTGAAGACTACACTTAGCTATTCTCTAGACACAGTATTAGGTATGAGTATATTTTATACTTTTAATTTTTTTTTGTAAATCTTAGGCATCATTTCTTTCTTTTTGCTTAAATTGTGTTTCTTTATATTTAATAAATATGATTAGCTGGTCTAATCTTTTATTATTTGTCCTGACAAATTTCTCATTGCACAGTTTACACTAAGACGTTCCTAGACCTGAGAAAGAGCTATTCGAAGCCCTAATGATAAAAATGGCTTCTTAAGTGTCATTTTATAATTATAAGACTGAGGTATTATATTATTGTGAAACAATTGGTACCCAATGATCTAAATGATAGCTTTATTGTCATACATCATCGCTTGCTATATTGTTACATGCTTTAGTCTTCCTTACTCAAATAAGCCGGCATCCTAAATTGTATCCATTAAGAGCTATAATTCTTCCACAGGAAATATATCTGATGTTTCGGAAGTAACAGTGAAAAGAGCTTAAGAACTTAAGATGAAAATGCTCCCCATAAATGAAGTTATGGCTGAATCAACAGTTTTGCTTTCGTTGCCTAAAGATGACATAAACGAATAGTTAATTTGTGATGAGGACGCAAATGGCTATCGATTGCCAACAGACGATAAAATCGTTGAAATGGCAACAGAGGCGGACGAAACTGATTCAGAAGCCGACTTTGATGGTGGGGATGTTGATGATACTATTACAACTCACAAAGATTTGCGTAAAGAAGCTAGAGGAGCTGCATCGCACTTATAACAATTCATCAAGTGGTATTCTCGGCAAGAAGAAGCAAATAAGGTAGATTTAATGATTTTACGTCGATTAAGAAATTCAGCCGTTGCAAAATGTGAAGTAACAATAAAACAAAGATTGCGGAATAATTTAAATCAAATTGATTCGACTGTACTAACATAAATCCCTCTTATATTGTCGAATAAAACATACAAATATAATTTGAGAGTTATACTATGATTTTTTTTAATGTTCTGTTAACCGTCTTTTCGATGATCCTTCATACCCTTGGTCCGGTGCCCTGACGGATAATCGAGGTTCCACTGTATATTTAAAAATAAACAACCATAATTCAAAACTATATTTAGTAAATATTCTTTTGTCACTTACCAGTGCTTCTCTCATTCTGATAATCTTTATTTCTTTTTTGAATATCTTTTTCAGAATAACCATCGTTATGGTCTGAATATTCGAAAGGTTCCACTATACATGGTCTTAATGAACTAGTCAAAAGGAAGCAATCGTCTGAGCAAGTTTTAATGGCTTGCAAAGCTGAACCTTTTTTTGAGAAGTCGATGATAGCTTCTCCTGATGGTTTGCCACGTTCATCAACGCATACGACAGCTCTTTCAACCTATAAAATATAATACAAGATATTTTAGTGTCTTTTTGTAGTAGTAGTTTTTAATAAAACAGACACTTTTTACTAATGCCATAACACAGTTTGTGAGGATATTGACGAGCATTATTATGTATAAAACTTTAATTCAATTTAAAAATGTTTTAATTTATATTATTATTTTTATTAATTTAAAATTAAGAGAAAAGTTATTTTAAATTTTATATTGTATATACTTTTCTTAGTGCTGTATCCGCGTAGCGGACATAGCGAATATCAAATTGGCGATCATCGTCTTATTAACTGCCAACCGAAAAAAAATTCATATATATATATATATATATATATATATATATATATATATATATATATATATATATATATTTATGACTACATCATTAGACTACAAAGCAGCCGACAACTCTGTGAATAGAAGATAAATGTTCAAAGCAATGAAAGAGCTAGGAATACCAAATCAGTTAGTAAATTTAACAAAATCAACTCTTGAAAAAGTTGAGTATAGAGTACGAATTTAGGGGAAATTGTCTGAACCTTTCAAAACTGTTCAATTTTACTGTTATAAATATGTATACTGTTCAATCTGGCTCTGGAAAAAGTAATACGTATGTCACAAATCACAACCACTGGTTCAATATATAATAAATCAGTGCAAATCATTGCCTATGCTGATGATATTAATATTGTTGGGAGAACGCAAAACGCTGTACGAGAGGAAAAAAACGAAGGATATGAAAATATGCACGCAACCACAAATCCTACGACCACTTGATATAGAAAAAGACGTCATAGAAGCAGTGAACGAATTTGTGTACCTTGGAGTACTCCTTAACACAGAAAATAATACTACCGCAGAGATAAACCGCAGATTTTGCACGGGTAACAGATTTTTGGCTCAATTTCCTCCTCAAATCCACAATTATATCGAGAAATACAAAAATGAAACTCTACAAAACAATAATACGCCCAGTCCTAACATATGGTTTAGAGATCTGGACTTTAACATAAAATAATGAAAACATGTTAGGATGTTTTGAAAGAAAAGTATTAAGGCGAATCTAAGGAGCAGTAAATGACAATGGAGTGTGGAGAAGACGATATAACTTTGGACTTTATAGAATATACCAGAAACCAGATATCATAAAACATATTAAGATAGGAGGTCTGATGTGGATAGGGTATGTAATGCGGATGGAACAAAATAACTCAGCTAGAAAAACACTCTTTAATAGACCCACTGGTCAAAGAAGAAGAGGAAGACCCAGAACAAGGTTCCTTGATAACATTGATGAAAACATGAGAATATGGAAATACGTGCTTGGCGAAGAAATGCGATGGATAGGGACGACTGAAGAGAAATTCTTGAGGAGGCTAGGATCCACGCAGGGTTGTAAAACCAGAATGATGAATTATAATAAAGAAAGATAAAGAAATCGTAAAAGCCATTAAAACCAGAAAATTTAGGTGGTTTTCGTTCATCATGAGACACCCTGAATGATGTACATCTTACATCTAATGATGTAACCAGAAATATTCGGAAGAATCCGTCCAGTAAGAAAAACAACATCATGACTCAAAAATCTGAGGTAGTATATGTAATGAGTATCAATGCCATATTCCAGTGTTTTTTCCAAAATTTGTTTCAGGGTTACAATCTTATGAATTGTCGATTTACAACCTCTGAAACCAGCCTGGTATTTTCCTACTTCCTACTATCCGTTCTGCATATGGTGCCATACGGTAACATACTACTGTGGAAAATATTGTATACGCTGCATTTAGAAGTGTAATTCCTCTTTATTATAATTACTACAACTTTATTACTTAGTCTGCCGATCTTAATATTAGATTATTTAATATTATCTTTTAACACCACATCTCGAAAACTAAGCATAACATATGTTGTAGTCTGTAGTTCAAATCGCCAGAATGAAAGGTATCAAACCGTTCTTACAATGTTAACTGATGAAGTCGACATATTCACTGATGAAAAAATGTTTAAAAGTTTATGGCGAAAATGTATGCCGTGAATAACTACAACAGAATAATTGATGCGAGAAATTGCATGTTTATGAAAACTTATGCTGCGAAAGAAGACAACGAATAGTTTTTTTTTTAATTGAAAGTTTGGCTCCAACACTACACCATCATGCTGGAAATCTTTACAACAAAAAATTTTAAGGGTTATTTTTGGAAATTTCATCTGGCTTAATGTAATTGAGTCGGAATGTAAAAAACTTCAACTTGAAAACTTTGGCTGGCTGATGAATTTAGATGATTATTTAAAACCAATAGGATTTATTGGGGACTAAATGCCTTTGAAAGTGCAAGACATTCTCGAAATGACGGAAGATGATTGGGAATGTAATAAAAGCAATGATGAAATTATTAGTTCCGATGAATAAGAAGTAGAATAAAAGTTACTTATTGCAATAAATGTTTTACAAATGTAATATTTATATTTATAATGTAATATCTATATTTATGTTCTAGAATAATACAATTTTTGTACTGAATAAAATATCTTTAGTCATTTTTTAATTATTAATTGATTATAGTCTGGACAAAACCATATTGTTTTTTATAATTAACATACTAAATTACCTATCAAATAATTTTTATCTATAGTTGAGGATATTGAGAGAAAACAGCTCATATGGTATGGACATGTGAGCCGAATGGGGGACGAAAGATTGCCTAAAAAAACGATGATGTGGCAACCCCCAGAGAAGAGGAAACGAGGAAGACCACCACAGAGCTGGAACCTGGGAGTTAGGAAAGCGATTAGCGCTCGAAATCTGGACGAAGACCTAACTCAAGACCGAATACAGTGGCGGTTGGGAGTCGGACAACGTCGTAAGACGTTATAAAACCGAATGTATATATATATATATATATATATATATATATATATATATATAATTTTTATCTATTAAACAGATCGATGAAGGTCTTTGTTACATCGGATCTAAGGTATTCTGAGTTTAAATTCATTTCTACAGTTGTTTATCTGTTGATAAAATTCTGCGTGTTTTTTCTGTTATTGTACTTAACAATCTCGTTTAGAACATTAAGGAACGGAACTTTCTGAATTATTTTTTGTTCAGTTTGATTATGAAAGAAATGATAAAGTAAAACAAAAAAGGAATGATAATGCAGGGCACATATGGAAAATTAAAGTTAAAATATTACTCTCTGAATATATAATATATCCAACCGTCGAATAATCCGAAGGATAAACTGGCAAATAAGCCTATACAGAAAGAAAAGAACATGGATTTTAAGGAAATCTAAAAAAAGATAAAGATATGGTTATTAAATTTCAACAAAAACACTCAATAAAATTCAGCAACCAATTTGTGCAACATACCGAAATTATAATTGTAAGTAACATCTTATATAAGTGTTTTTAACATCTTACCTCTCCAAAAATAGAAAATGCATACACCAACAGCTCGTTTGTCACATAAGGAGTCAAATTCTTCACTTTCACAGAAGACGACACTGGAGCCAATCTAATTTTTAAATTTCTTGATCTTAGAGTCGAACCATCAAGTTCTTTTTTCGCTTTTCTGGCATTACAATTATAGTCTAATTTTACAAATGCAAAGTTTTTTTCTTTGTTAATGAAAATTTCGGCTGTTTCACCATAAGGCTTAAACAATTCTTCTAGATCATTTTCGGTCGTTTCACCACTGGTATTTCCTATTAAAAGTGATTATAATAAATATATTTTATCAATATGCAGATGTATAAATTTATTTTAAATGTACAATTAAAATTCATGTACAATCACCAGGCGGAGCCTACCTGCAAACCTAAGGATAAACGAGAGGCATTCGAACAATTGCTAACCATCCTGGATGAAATACCTCATGAAAAACTCTTAATTCTTATGGATGACCTTAATGCACGAATCAGAAATGAAATAGTTCCAGGAGTAAAACAAAGATTTAATGAAAACCATGTCAATGCAAATGAAGAACTTATGGCTAATATCTGTGCTTATAACGAACTGAGAATCAATAATACATTTTTTGACAATAAGCCCCAGTATAAATATACATTTGAAAACTCCAGAGGGCACAATCTATGATTAATTTTATAGTTAGTAATAGAAAAATCCACCCAAAGCAGATTCTAGATATCCGATACTAAACATTTTCTACAGGAAATCACCGAGGAAAAATTCAATGTAGAATCACTGTGGAATAACTCTATAAGAGAAATGTACCAAAGAAGGCTAGCACAGAAGATACAACTGAAACAAACAGGCGACATAAGCGACTTCTACGGTACACAAAAACAAATATTGAGATTCATAAGAAACCAACGAAAAGAAATGGCAGAATTGAAGGAATACAATAACATACCAGCAAAAGAATGGGAAAGATACCCGACGGAAATGTTTAAAGAAAAGGAAAATAATAATCAACATAATTAAATACCTGATTAAGAAACGAAACAGAATCCAGCATTTAGAAAGTAGAGATAGCCATAAATTCACTCAAAAATAGAAAATCGCCAGACAAGCTTATACAAAAACTAATATTGCGAGATACCAGAGGCATGGAGAAACAGCATAATAATACCAATGTTCAAAAAAGGAGATAAAGAAGACCCCAACAATTATACAGGTATAAATCTAATGAACACCGCACTTAAGCTTACCACAAAAATCCTAACCAACAAAATCAATAAACTAACAACTTTATCAGATGAACAATTAGGATTCAGATCCGGAAGATCCTGTATACAGGTCGCATTTGTACTAAGACAAATCACAGAAAATGCCATCAAGTATAATAAATCAGCATATCTATGTTTTATAGACCTGACAAAGGCTTTCGATCGCATCCAAGTCGAAGACTTACACCTAATGTATAAAAGAAACATGTAAATCAATATTATACAAACCATCGAAAACGTTAACTTCCATAATCTAATACAGACAAAGATAAATGGAAAACTAACACAGTGTATACCAGTACAAAGCGGAGTCAGACAGGGTGACTCGTTAAGCCCACTTGTCTTTAATATAATAATGGACGAAATAATACAAGCAGTACGTAAAGGTCATGGTTTCAGAATGGGAAACAAAGAAATCCAAATATTTTGTGCAGACGACGCCGCATTAATCGCCGATACAGAAGACGAGCTCCAAAAATTAACACACATCTTCAATACGACAGCCAAGAAATACAATATGATAATATCAGCAGAAAAATCCAAGTGGATGACAACATCTAAATACCCACTACGATGTAAAATCGAAATTGATGGGAAAATAATAAAGCAGGAAGCAAGGTTTAGATATCTGGGAATAGATATAACTATTTACGGAGATGTTGAAAAAGAAGTACGGCAACATAAAAGCAAGTAAAGCGGCGGAATCTCTTAATGACATCATCTGGAAAAACAAAACACTTAAGACAAGATACAAAAACAAGAATCTATAAAGCAGCAATTAGACCTACATTAACATATACGGCGGAGACAAGACCTCACACATCTAAAACCAAACGACTACTAGAAACAGCAGAGATGAAAATACACCGACGACTATCAGGGAGAAGTATGTTGGATAGAAGCAAAAACATACGAAGAGCATGCAAGAACGAACACACTGGTAGAATGGCAGAAAATAGCGAATAGTAAGAGACAAGTCACCAAATGGACGAAGAAGTATTGGCATACCAAGAAAAAGATGGTCCGACAATGTAGAAGGCTAATATTGAAGAAGAAACAGGCCTTAAAGCCTACATGCACAAAGGAAAAAGAAAGAAGAAACGATTTTTTGGTTTACACAACCTGACATCAGTTTTTTCTAATTAATCGTAATAAAGATAAGTTACTTGACGATTTTATTTCCAAAAATATAAAAGAAGAGTATATCAGTGATAATGTCAAGTATAAAGATATTTAAGGTATAGCAATCACCAAGCGGAGAACCACCGTTCTTGATCACCATCAACCATGCATTTTGATGTTTCCGAATCTTGCCGAATCTCCAACAGGTGGCGTTAGAGTTATTACCGCGTTTTGTTTACAAATTAATTGCAGTTAAAAGATTATTTATATTATAGAACCGCTTCGATTGACATGAAATTTGAAATGCATATAAAGTAAGTCAAAGAAAAAAGTGATATAGTGTCGATGTGCGCTTTTACCCCAGGGGTAAGTGTCATCCCTTTTCGGGGTGAAAATATTTAACCTTTAAATAATCCTCGGAATCGATAGAGAACTCATTTTACAGCAAAAATGTTGCACAGATTTTTCTAGGTAAGTTAATATTTTTCAAGCTTTCAATTTCTTGGCATTTCGTTGTCATCCAATTTTCTTTAGCTTCTCTGCAATTTTTTGTAATGGCTTTATTGATTCGTTTGTATTCCATTGGGTTTGTTTTGTTTTGTTTTACGTTCATGAGCTCCATGATCTTTTGCATTATCCATTCTTGTTTTCTGTTGTTTTTCATAAATCTGATGTCTTCTTTTTGAATCTGTTACTTTAAATGTTTAGAGCAAATTCAGCAGATTTTATGTACTTTTAAAGTTATGGTCGAGCAAAATGAAGTCAATTTGATATCTAATAATTCTACCTTCTCTATCTGCAGGTGATATCCAAAAGTATAGCCTTCTGAGGTGTTATTTGGAAATGTATTAGCTGTTAAAAGGTATAGGCAGAATTCTACAAGTATATCTCTCCTGTTGTTTCTGGTACAAAGACCGTATGCTTCTATTGTCTCCTTCAGCACTAACATAGCAGTTCCATATTTATATTTTGGGTCTCCTGAATAATAGATTCATCCCTCTTTTATTTTTTGTTTTCCTGAACCAGGTCATCTTACTTCGCTAATGGCTAAGACGTCTATTCTCATTCTTCTCATCTCGACTTCCGGGTTTGCCAGTTTCCCGGACATAAATAAGCTGCGTACGTTCCAGATGCCAATGCATACTATCCTGTCATATATTTATATTCTCTCTTTACTTCCTTGAATCTCAATGGTAGTTGACAGGAAGATTCTTCGCTCCTCTTCCCATTTAAGGGGTGCGGCCTGAATGAGGGCCATTTTCTTGTAATCTTCTGCTATTTAGGTTTCTGAGAGATATAAAAATGGGGTGGTTTTTCCTTTGCCTTTACCATAATTTTCTGTTAGGGTATTCTCCTTTAGCCAATCTTCTCCAGTTTTAAGGTACCATTAGACCCCCAGTCTAATGATTTGTGCCGGGGTATCTAGCAGCAGATAACGAAAGTTATGCCCAAGTAATTGCTAACCTCTATTAATAGACACAGCACTGGAAGAGGAAGAAAACTACAAACAAAGTGACAACGGTAATAATGTAATCAATTTTAAATTAAAATGTTATATTTATACATTTCTTACCTATATAAATTCGATTTCTACTGTTAAACTTTTTCTCGGGTATATCGTTGGCTGGCAATTCATAAGTAGGTCCAGATAGTTGCATTGTTCTCTCATGTAACCTTTGTTCAAGACTTTTTGGTCTAAAACGACCGTAATTTTCAAATGATGCCTCCTCGTCAAAGTTTTGGTTATTATGATTGTTATTATTTAAATCATCACCAAGTGCTCTGAAATTATGAAAACAATGATTAAACTTATTTTATTTTGAATTTTCAACGTACAAATATCACAAAAGTTAGTCACGGTTATAAATTAAACTGTTTAACTGGAGTAATTTTAAAGCTGCTACCTGAGAAGCCTGTAGTCAAGTTGAATATTATAGTAAAGGCTGCTTTCTAAATGCTAGTTGCGAAATGGCGGTGTATCTTATATGGAATACCATACTGTTCCTATTATGAAATATTCCATATTAGGTCGCTTCACTTTTGAAAATTTTAAGAAGTAAATCTGTATAAGATTTCTGTTAAAATAAATACACTATAAATTAATTATTAACATTTTTATTCAGAGAAATACCATGGGACGTAAAAAGTCAAGAGATTTGAGTGTTGGAAAATATTTATTCCTAAAATATCATCATCATCACCCAGCCCTTTGCGTCCACTGCTGGACATACGCCTCCCTCATTTTTGTCCATTGTGCCCTGAAATATCACAAGGATTCAATTTCTGTCAGAAAGCCAACTGGAATGTCACTTGAGCCAAAGGCTTTAATAAGGAAAGTGTCACATACTTCTCTGATATTTTTTGGAGACAGCATTTGAAAATCATAATTATTTATCTGATTTAGAAACTGGATTAAGTATTGTTCAGTCTAGAGTCCAATATGCTCTTGCGCTTATAGGTTCGAAACAGTTAGGTGCCTTAATGTCTGCAGAAAAGGGTTCTTTAGTCACAGCAGTCTAGCGTATGACTGCAGGAGGAAACTTTTGTTTCACCATATCTGATTTTTCACAAAAAAAACCACAATCTTTACCATTCCATATGTGCATGGTATTCGGTATACTCCGGCCGTTGGTAATGGGTCGCGTTTGTCCTTAACTGATCTTAGACAGTTCTTGATTCTCTTTGTAGGCTTGAAAATGGTCTTTACATTGGCTTTTTTAAGTATTCGCCCATTTATGTCTGTTACCCCCGATATATAAGGCAAGAACGCTTTGCCTATACATACTGTTTCTTCGTCCTTTCTTTTATGTATTTCTCTTCTGGTATAACACATTGTTTGCAAAGAACGATGCCATACATATACATATCGTTCCGGCTGTGAAACTGGTATCTTCATTTGCGAGATTAACAAAGACAAAATGGTTTGTCAAGGAAAGGAAAGTATCTAAATCTTAATATTTAAAATTCCTATTAAGTACAAAATTCCCCTTTTTGATATACATATTACTTTTTGACTATCTCGATATTCAAACTATCTTTTTTTAATTTTAAAATCTGATACGTACATTAATGTGTCTTTATAAACGCATTGTTTTAAGGAACAAAAAATTACAAACTAAATACTAAACGTTATTGCATATATCGCACATCTCATTCCTATATTGAAATCAATCGAAAAATTTAAGTACATATGTACACATAGACTTTACCAATAAAATGACTAAAAAAATTCTTGTATAAATTAACAACCAACATGTGCCATACTCAAATAAAGGATCTGGGCACAAAGCTTCTTTGAAAACCGCACGTGAAAAAGAAAAAAAAACATAAATTAAATATGGAAGAAAGTTGTAGTGACTGATTGGAAAAAAAATCGTCCATTAACTTCGTCCATTATAATACATTAATCTACAAACAAATCCTTAAATCAGTGCATTTACGTTTACAATTTTATGTTGCACCAAACAAAGTAATACTAACATTACTCAATGATTTAAGAAGAAATTACTAAGAAATATAGTAAATACTCCTTAATAAAGTAGTAACAAAGACATTCATAGAGACATGAGCGTTAAAATGATCAGTAAAGAAATAAGATTTGCAGTGAACCTTGAAAAATGCTCCATAATTATACCAGTATTGAGGCTCTTCAGCTATACAGATAACAAGAGCACAATAACGTAGAAAATCATGAAGCAACGAGTTAACAGAGAAAATTCCAAAAAGACTAGTAAAAGAAATTCCAACACAACTAGAAAGAAAAAGATGTAGATTTTATTTTACTCTTGTATGAGGGGGGGATTGCGTCAACCACCACTTCTTTTTGCACCAGAATTTTCCTATCTGACAGATAATCAGTCTCCAATCCCAGACCAAATTCATCAAGTAACCCAGGCACCTGCTTTGTCGTAAAGCCTTTATTATCTCCTTTATATCTCTTTCCAGTTTAAGGTGTTTAAAAGCATTTCAGACATCAAAGAGCAGTAGAATCGCTCACTTCTGGTCAACTCTCACTCAGAGGGGTAACACCGTACTACCCGGCTGACAGCCCGCCTGATTCTTCAATGACTGTGTCGGTTCCCCCTTTTAGAAATATCTCGTATAATTTACTTACACGCGACAACCAGGTCGATACTTGTCTGTCCCTTTTGGGAGTAACACGAGAATTTTTTAAATAAATGTTTTGTAACACGAGTCTCGAGATCTAATTTGTTAGAAATAGCTGTTTCAAGAAGTGCATTCATGTGTTCCCAAAGCCACGCCGACTTCAATGCGTTTCATCCCGTCGAGTCCTGGAGCCGTTAGTTTCATTAGGGCACTCAACAACAAATTCTGCAAAATACTGAGACGGATAGGAAATGGTTATTAATAAAGACAGAAATAGATAAAAGTCAAAAAGAAATTCTACTACCAACCAGATAAAATTGAAACAATAGATGACGGAAGAAATTCTAGATTTAATGGAAGAAACACGTCAATATAAAAACAAAGATAATCAGATGTACAAAAGTACAATGGTTAAAAGAACAATGCGCAGAAATAGAAGAATACCAGAAAAGACATGATAGTTTTAAGACACATAAAAAAATTAAAGAATTAACTCACAACAATAGAACAAGAAAACCGAGAATACTGAGAGATGCAGATGGGCAACTTGTGTTGAATACTAAGCATTACTATCTCAAAGTGAAGGAATAATAATTAACGGATCCATTAACAACATAAGATATGCAGATGACACCGTGATTGTGGCAAGCTTTGCTGAATAACTTCAATTACTGCTAAACAAAACAAACAGTTTCTGTGAAAAATATGGACTAAAAATGAATATAAAAAGGACCAAATACATGGTAATAACAAAGAAAACAAATATATCAACAAACATACATTTGGGAAATGTACCGATAGAAAGGGTCGATAACTACAAATACCTAAGAACCTGGATTTTAGACAATAATGATCAAATAACCGAAATAAGAGCCAGGATGGTAAAAGAAAGAAATTCATTTGTAAAAATGAAAACAATTTTCAATACTGCAATATGGACTTGAAAGCTGGACATTGAAGCAAGAACACATAAATAAGTTACAGTTCTTTGAAATGTGGTGCTACAGGAAGATGCTTAGAATATCATGGACACAGAAGAAAACTAACATGGAAGTATTGCGAGAAATGTGCTAAGAATGCGAAATAATTAACACAATAAAAATAAGAAAGTTACAATATTTGGGACACATAATGAGGGGACAGCGATATGAACTGCTAAGGCTGTTAATACAGGGAAAGATAAGAGGAGGAAGGAGTATAGGAAGGAGAATGTCATGGTTAAAGAATTTAATATATATAGTTAATTAGTATATAGTTAGTTAATATATATATATATATATTAATAATCTATACATTTATTTAATTAATTTATGGATCTGAGAACTGAACTCTCCTTATCCATCACTCTAAAATACAGTGTGATAGTATAACTGTACAACTTCAATAGTTGTTTACAAGTCATTATATTAGCTATTTCATACAATCTGTGACCAACAGGGATTTCATAAGATCACTATATCAGTTCTTCTATAATGCTTACCAATAAATTTTGTTGGATAAATTTAATATTTTCAATTAGATCTAAGGGTATACATACTAAATAATGTAGGGAATCAGTTTTTCTACTTGTGGAAACATATTTGATGTTGAGTTTAGAATAGATAGAATAGATGTAAAGAATATACAATCAATGTTCTCTCCATGATACCCTATATTATTTAATATAACTTATGTTATTTTGATATGTATTTATCTGTATTAATATTTTAAATTCAAATAAGTTTTTCATCCTGTATTGACATATTATTTATAAGTTTGAGTTTGTGTTTACTTAATTACATACAATATTATTCACTAGTCTTTTAGTTTGGCATAATCTGCTTTGTCATCTTTGTTGTTACCCAGTAGTATAATGAATTAATGATGTCATTTTTTATCTTTGATATCATTCATTTGGGTCAATTACCTGCCATTGGTAATACATATTTAATGTATCTAAAAGGAATGTACATCCTGATTTAAAATCCCATCTCACTTCATTCTTGTCAAAGGTGTTGCCTATACTTATGTATTGTTTTATACTGTTTATTTTTTGCATTTTATTCTTTTCAACTAGAAATTTGAACACCTTGCAAATTTGTTTAGTTTACAAGCTAAATTAAAGTTGCCTATACTTATGTACTATTTTATACTGTTTATTTTTTGCATTTTATTCTTTTCAACTAGAAATTTAAACACCTTGCAAATTTGTTTAGTTTACAAGCTAAATTAAAGTTACTAATAAAATATTATTGTAATGAAATAGAGTAAGTAAATATTACTATAGAGATTTATTATGGCAATATAACAGGTAAAAAATGACAGAACAAAACTTGCAACTTGCAGGCCTTGCAAATACCTACTAAAATATTTTGTTAAAAAGAAAGGCATCATAATTAGGACTGCTGGTACATTAAAATGGGCAAGGAGCAGAAAAAAAAAGCAAGAAAGAAAGATTTAATATACATCTGAATGTATTTAATACATTGAAATTGTTTTCAAATAAACAAAAAAAAACATGATTAAAGAATATGATCCCTAAAGGAGCTAACAAGCTTTTTTAGAAGCCTAGATCTTTTGAAATGAACATATATATGTATTAAATAAACTATCTTTCAGATCCAAATGAAAAAAGTCCCAACTCCTATAACTCTACAATCTGAAATGTAAAGAAGTCAAATTATTCTTTTGAAACCTACAATAGCTTACTATTTCATCTACAAATTGTATGTAGTAGTCCTAGTAAGAGGAAAAATGCCAGGTTTATATTATAAAAGATGTAACAGAAAGAGCACCATCTACAGGAATAAAATTACATATATACAAATAAAATTATAGCTACAAAAAACTGGAAAGAAATATAATTCTCACAATAATAATCTTATAAATAAGTCAACTTAGTTATTGACAGAATGCAATACAAAGCTTAATTTAAATATGTACTCTAAGAAGAAGCACTGAGAATAATCATCAAAAATGTAATTTTATGAGTACTGGTCAAAAAATGTAGAAAAGGGCATTTAAGTACTTAATAAGTTAAATAAAATTAAAGAAGACAGACACAAATAAAAAACCAAAAATATTAATATGGTGTTTTTGGTATTATTGGCTTGAGAGTCTGTCATCGTAAGATAGTGTCATTTGACACTCTCTTACTAATGAAATATACACCTAACTAAAGTTTCCACACTAATAGAGGAATATAAAATGATTATTATTACCAGATATCTGAATAAAATATAATTGTATACAAAATATGTTTAAATTTGACAGCTTTAAAATTAGATCTATTTAATATTGAAAAATAATCAAGTGGAACCACCGGAAAAAATTATTGGTATTGAGTTTCTTTACTTATTAATCAAATTTTATATTATATTAAATATTATACCTCTTATGTCCCTGAGCAACGTCTTTATTTCCACCAGCATTGTTGAATTTTTTTCTAATTCTTTGTCCAGGGCCCCCGCCGCGTCCGCGCGATCTTCCGCCATACTCCTTTCTGTTGGTTACATTTTCTGTCTTATCAGTAGAAGACTCCACTTTTACAAACGTCTGGTCAGCAGGTTTATTTTCTTCCATTCTAATACAAACTAAATAGAATGCCAATTTTTAATCAAAAAGTCAAGTAAATTTTTATATTGACAGTTCAAAAAGAAACCAATTTCCTTTAATCAGCCCTCTAAAATGGAACGCTTTGGCGGCTTTCTAGAATTATCTTATTGCAACAATTTTACCAACTTGGATAAAAAATATTTGACAGTTTACCAACATATGTGTTAAATATTTTCACAGTAAACTGTCTTTTATATAAAACTTTTTTTGTAATAACATAAAATTTAAAATTACAAATTTGAGTCACACAGCATGCGTAAACAAGGAAATATTAGAACTAGTTTTTTGGTGGTGCCACCTACATTACAGTAGACGAATATTTACAACGAAGATGGACACAGGAATTCGATAGTTATTAACGATATCGAATGATTAATTCGTAATTCACAATAGATCGATAGTTATTATTACCAATCGCTATAATTCGATAAATTATTCCAAAAATTAAAAATCAAGTAAAGCAAGGTAGATTTTACAGATTTCGTTTCTTCGTAAAAGTTATTGCGAATAAATAGCTTTATTTTCTTCTATTTTAAAAGAGTTTCGATACAATAATTGTTGGTTAGAGCAGTGGAGGCTGGTGTGGTAAAATTTTGAGTAGGCCAAGCCAGCAAATTACATCGTAAATTTAACGCCATATTCTGTGAATCTTTTATTATCGCGTAATTCCAGTTATTGAAACTTTTTGTAATCCGAGAAAATCTCAAAAAAGATCCTTCTAAATTTAGTGTAAGCTTTCTCCAAAAAACTTTGGTCTCCGTTATTAGATGAACTACCAGGTAAAATATCAAGTTCACTACAACTTATGATGAGTTTAGAATTGGTTTCGCTAACAGCAATGTTGAAATGCTTAGAAAATGTAAGTTCATTTCTCCAGCTCTTTAACATTGGAACACTTCGGGACACTGAATTGGCACACAATTGAACATCATTATTTTTCTTCTGCAAGATGTTGTATAAGAGCTCAGTTTGTTGAAATATATCACTAAAAATATTTAATAAAAATACAAATTCCAAGTCCTTCAACTTACGTTTAAAACCATCTGCCTGCCTAATTGATTTTGCATTTGATTCTGGGCAATTCATTATGTCCGGAAAGACAATTTTTTCTTTCTTGTGACACAGCATACTACTTTTGCATTTGAATTCCCTCTTACTTCACTATTTGTGGTAATTCGGTAAGTATTTTATTTAAAAAAAGGACCATTTGGACGATTGGTGAAAACAAGCTGGAATACCTTGAAGCGTTGAGAATAATATTTTGAATGTTGGAATTTTGAAGCAACTTTGCTGTAAAACTAAGTTGAGATGGTGAGCGAAACAGTAAATATTGCTAATGGTGCAGAATCTCTCACTAATTTTTGAAGTCCATTAAGTTGTCCCGACATAACATTAGCTCCATCGTAGGTTTAAGCAATTAATTTAGCTTTACAGTCAAATTTACCAATTACACTAAACAGTAAGTCACGTAACATTGGAGTACTTCGGTCTTCCCATAGATAAAAAAACCTAAGAAATATTCTTGAACAACGCCTTTTGTATCCACTAATCTGCATACTATTGAACATTGTGCCCTTTCAGAATATCGGTTGTTTCACCAAGAATGCATGCAAAAAAATGTGGAGTTATTGATGGCGTTCTCATACAACACATTTGTGTTGTTTGTTTAAAAATTTGTTACAATTATAGATTATGTTACATATTTTTTTATCATAATTCAAAAGAAAATTTATATTAAAATTCGATAATTACGTTACAAGTGACAACGATGGTCGGCGTAGGCCCGATCGTCTGGTGCCTAAACTGTAATCATAAAGACGACAATAAAAATCGTTGTCCGGCAAGCTGCTTAACTTTAAACGCTTTTTGTACGGGGATCTTATGTGAGCTGGGTCGGTCAGTTCCAATCGGGCCTATTAATGATATTTAAAATGCCTGAATACGATTCGATGCTTTCCGTGCTAATATAATAACATAGTTGTTTTAACGGACGTTAATGTATTGAGTGATTTAGTACATTTAAAAGTTATTTACATACATTAACATAATTTTTGAATATACGTTTTTCAATTTTAAAGCTCTTAAAATTATTGGGTAGGCCCGGCCTATCCTGCCTACCCCCAAAAGCCGCCACTGGGTTAGAGTTACCATTACTTATACTTAAAAGTTCTTACGGTAGGGATCCTTGACTAGGCAGAAAAATGCAAGCAGGAGTGGAGTAATACCGCACTTCGGTTGCATTGGTGGTGTATTGGCTAAATCACAGAATAAATAACAATCAGAATGCCCACTCTCAGATACCGCCTTTGAAGTTTGCCAGCACGCGATCGCCATATTTTAAACGGAAACGTAGACTCGAATTCAGAAATTTGTGACAAGCTGGGAGAGAACTGTAATTTAAATTTTAATAATTTAGTACATTTGAAATAATTTATTCTATTCTTCAACTAAAAGTACGGATAAAATAGTGCATATTATGTCTATAGTTGCCGTAAATAAATTAAACCGGGTTAATTTATCTATGCATGCCAGATATAATGTCACTGGCTGGTTCCGTTTAAAACTTGGCTTATTTCGTCTGAGCGAACAAGATTAGCGTACTTATTTTTTTCAAGCAGAAATATATATATATATATATATATATATATATATATATATATATATATATATATATATATATATTATAGATGCCTTTTAAAGGAGAGAAATTTGTTGCATGAAAGGACAAGGTGGAATGGACAAACGACGAAAGAACTAGGTGAGGGATACAAATTTAAGGAAAAGTAACATTAGAAATGGAGTTTGTACAATAATTGCTGATAGTGAAATGAAAGATAACATCATAGAAATTGTAAGGTGTGATAGAATAATAATAAAAACATGAAGTGCTTAAAACCACAGCTTGGAACCATACAAATTAATAGTATAAAGAACAAAGAAGGTACAGAGACCAATAATGTAGAAGAAATTATACAGATAACACAAGAATGTTATAAAAACCTCTACAATACAAAACAGAAACCAACCCAAGAAATCCTTAAGCAACTACAAATAAAAATAAAAAATGTTAATTCTGACTTACAACCAGAGATCAGTAAGAATGAGATAAGAAGAGCACTCAAAGAGATGAAGAACAATAAATCGCCAGGAAAAGACGGGGTGACTGTAGAAATGCTAAAACATGGTGGGAAAACAACTAGAGAAGTTTTGTACATACTTATGAATAAAATTTTAATGACAAAACAAATACCCAAAAGTTGGAACGAAGCAATAACACTGTTACTATTTAAGAAAGGAGATAAAAAGGATCTAAAGAATTACAGACCCATAACTTTATTAAATGTGATGTACAAACTATTAACCAAAATATTAACAAATAGATTAACAACTAAATTAGATGGATACCAGGCAAGAGAACAAGCCGGATTTAGAAAGAGCTTCAGTACAAGTGACCACCTTTTAACGATGAAGATTTTAATCGAAAAAACTAACGAATATCATATCCCGCTATACATGGCATTTATTGACTTTGAGAAGGCATTTGATAGTGTAACACTGGGCAGTACAGAATTCCCTACAAAACAGCAGAATAGACTACCGATATACCGACTTAATTACAAATATATACAACAAGGCAACAACAACTATTAAGCTAATGAAACAAACGGAGCCTATTAAAATAAACCGAGGAGTAAGACAAGGAGATATCATCTCGCCCAACTTATTTAACCAAGCGCTAGAATATGTTTTTAAACGACTACACTGGGATGACTTGGGAATTAATATAAACGGGCAAAATCTTAATCATTTACGATATGCTGATGATATTGTATTAATAACAGAAAAAAGTGAAGAATTACAAAGAATGATGGAAGAACTAGATAGAGAATCGACAAAAATTGGACTCAAGATGAATTATAGTAAAACAAAAACCATGACTAATCAACCAGAAGAACTTATAATTACAGTGGCACAAACAAAAATAGAACAAGTAAAAGAGTATATATATCAAGGTCAAATAACTAAATTAAATAAAGAAAATCATACCGAAGAAATAAAGAGAAGAATAAGATTGGCCTGGGCATCATTCGGAAAACTGTCTTATATTCTAAAGAATTCAAAATACTCCCAATACTTAAAAACGAGAGTCTTCAATCAATGTATACTCCCTGTCCTCACATATGGCTCTCAGACATGGACGTTTACAAAGGAAAATATGGAAAAATAGCAAAGACAGAAAGATCCATGGAAAGATAAATGCTGAACATTAAACTATCAGACCAAAAAAGAAACGAATGGATCCGTAATAAAACAAAAGTGAAAGATGTCTCAACCCAAGTAGCAAAGCTTAAATGGAAGTTCGCCGGACACACCCTAAGGCAGAAAGATGAAAGATGGACTAAAACAATTATACATTGGAGACCATGGAATCACAAACGTAAAAGGGGAAGGCCACAAATGCGATGGTCAGATGATCTGAAGAAACACGCCGGATCAAAATAGATGCAAATTGCCCAAGATAGAGAGGCATGGAAGAAGGAGGAGGAGGCCTATATCCAAGGATGGATGTTAAGGGCTGTATAGATAGATAGATAGATAGAATAATGTCCGTGAAATTTGTACTTGATAAAGAAGGTGTGTGTGTGTGTGTGTGCGTGTATGAGCGTGTGTGTGCTTGTATGCGTGCTTGTGTGCGTGGGATTGATTTACTTTAGGTACTGCCTGGTACGCTACGATAGCTTTGGGACATACGAACTTAAAACTAAAAAGTTACTTTCTTTGGAGGATCCTGGTTGAGGCTCGGGCGTCTCAAAGATGGAGATACCAATAAGGTATAACAGGCAAAAATGCTAGAATAAGAAATAATATTTAACTTATTGAAGACAAGTTCATACAAGAATAGCTGTTTAATCCAATAATTATGAATTCATTTTGCAGATACTTATAGATATATTTCACAAAATTGTTTTACTGGTGACATGCCACTTCTGTTTGAAAATACTTTAAAATCAGTTTAGTTTAGTACCAGCATTGTTTAAATAGTACTAGTTAGACAATCCTTA